CAAGATTTTGCTAGCGAAATCTCCACACGGACCTCTAATTAATCCTACTGGTGGTTCTTCAAAGTAATGCTCCTACTGTGGGAAACCAAGACATACAAAAGAGACGTGCTATAGGAAACATGGTTTTCCTCTGAGCTTCAAGTTTCGATCTGGTTCTCTTGCTGTGGTGAATAATCTTTCATCTCAAGATTCTAGTAAGTTTAAGACATTCATACTGCTAAGCCTCCCCTGCTCCCTAATCCTTCTACTGCTTTTGTTCTACCTCAATTATCTTTAGAACAATACCAGCGACTTCTTGCTCTGCTTGCTCCACCTTAGACTCCTTTTGTCAACCATCTTTCTACTTCCTCTTCTCCTCCAACCACAAGTAAATGTAATTCCTTTTCATCTACATCTATAGTTAATTGGATCATTGATTCAGGTGCAACTAATTATGTTTGTTGTTCATTAGAATTGTTTGCTTCTTATAGTTCCATTCCTCCCGTTCAAGTTAGTTTACTGATTGGTTCCTATGCCACTTCTACCATTTTTGGCACTGTTTCAATATCTTCTTCTCTGGTCTTACACAATGTTCTTTTTCTTCTTAATTTTTCCTTTAATATACTCTTTGTTTCTAATTGACTGTTACCATTAACTGTTTTTTCCTCTTTTCATCCTCTTGGTGCCTGATACTCTTACTCAATCCTTTTTTGATGATTGGTTAAGCTAAACATTTTGAAGGGCTATACTTACTTCATGCAGATGTGTCTCCCTCTCCTACTCACTCTCAAATTTCTACGACCACTACTTCTTCCACCTCAGGTAATACTCTCTGGCATTTGTGTTTGGGACATCTTTCTCATTCTACTCTTTCTATATTGCACAAACAGTACAATGATATTTCTTGTATTCCCCATCCCCTTGTCTGTGATACTTGTTATTTTCCAAAGCAAAAACGTCTCTCCTTTCCTGTAGCCACAAGCTCTACTAATAAATTTTTTATTTGGTTCATGTTGATATTTAGGGCCCTTTTTCTACTCCTTTGACTTAAGGTTATAAATTCTTTCTTACCATTGTTGATGATTTCTCCCAGTATACATGGTTATTTTTAACAAAAACTAAGTTTGAGACTCATACTCATCTCATTAGCTTCTTTGCTCTAGTTCAAAATCAATTTTCCACCTCCTTATCCATTTTGATAATGGTGTTGAATTTTGTATGACTAACTTTTATCAATCAAAAGGTGTTATTCATCAAACCTCCTGTGTTAACACACCCCAGCAAAATGGCATTGTTGAAAAAAAACACCAACACATCTTAAATGTTGCTAGAGCCTTAGTTTTTCAATCTAATATTCCCCTGTCTTACTAGTCTTTTGCTGTCTCACATGCCACTTACCTCATTAATAGATTACCTTCCCCTATCCTCCAAAACCTCACACCTTTTGACAAACTCTTTCATACACCACCTTCTTACTCTCACCTCAAAGTCTTTGGTTCTCTTTGTTTTGCTTCCACCCTACCCCATAATCATTTAAAATTTGACCCTAGAGCAAAGAAGTGTGCCTTTCTTGGTTTTCCATCCACTTCCAAGGCTTTTATCTTACTTGATTTGCATACTAATCAAATTTTCCAATTCAGAGATGTTGTTTTTCATGAGCTTGTGTTTCCTTTTAAAACTGATTCCACCTCATCTTCCCTTTCTCTACCTATATTACCTTCTGTTCAACCTCCCTCATCTTCCCTATATGATGATTCGTTTATATTTTATTCTATGCCTTCTTCTCCACCTGCTACTAGTTTCTCTTCCTCTGAACCACTTTCGCAGCCTCCTTTATCTTCCCCTTCTTCCTCTTCATCCACCTTTTCTCCAACTTTCCCTCAAGATCTTTCCTCTCTTCCACCTCCTGTTTCACATCCTCTTCACCGTTCCACTGTCCTCATCACCCACCTACACATCTGTATGATTACCATTGTACCCTTATTTCTACTACTACTTAATCATTAGGAAATACAACCATTCGATATCCTTTATCTTCTATTTTATCCTATTCCTGTCTTGCTCCTGCTTATAAACGGTTTGTCTTAGTTGTCTCCACCACACTTGATCCAAAAACCTATCACCAAGCAGTAACATTTTGTTAGTGGCGAGATGCAATGAATGCAGAAAATAAAGCACTTCAACAGAACCAAACTTGGGTTCTTACATTTCTAACACCCAGCAACAAATCAATTGGATGTAAATGGGTTTTGAAAACTAAATATAAAGCCAATGGTGATATAGAAAGATATAAGGCTCACCTTTAGCAAAAGGCTTTACACAAACAGAAGGTCTAGATTATTTTGATACTTTTTTCCTAGTAGCAAGGATGACTACTTTGAGAATGCTACTGTCCATTGTTGCTGCTAAGAATTGGTTTCTTCACCAACTTGATGTTAATAATGCTTTCCTTTATGGTGATCTACATGAGGAAGTGTACATGGATCTTCCATAAGGTTTTTTGGCCCCCAAATTTGACATCATTTGCAAATTAAAAAAAAAAATCACTGTATGGTCTTAAGCAAGCAATTAGGCAGTGGTACTCCAAACTTTCTTTTGCCCCATTCTCTTGTGGATATCATCAATCTTCCTCTGATCATTCCCTATCTTACAAGACTGCTGCTAATTCTTCTTTTACAGTAACTCTCATATATGTTGATGATCTTATCTTAGTTAGCAATGATATGAATGAAATTAACTCTATTAAGTTGAAGCTAGATCAGACTTTGACTATTAAAGACCTTGGAGAACTTCAGTATTTCCTCAGTCTTGAGCTAGCACGTTCCAAAGAGGGTATTTTTCTTTCTTAAAGAAAGTTCGCCCTGGAACTCCTCCAAGACACAGGCTATTTGGCTTCCAAACCTGCTTTTACACCTATGGATCCTCATCTTAGGGGGTGTTTAGATGAGGCCAAACCATAGTTTGGAGAGCAGCTTCTGGAGAATAGATTCTAGAGAGAATAGATTTTGAAAAAATAAATTTTTTGAAAAAGTGATTATGATAAAGTGAGAGTGTTTGGATAGTTGTTGTCAGAAGTGCTTTTTGATATGTGAAAATTACTAAAAAGGACATAAGTTTAAATGATAATTACATATAAGATATATTTCATAATATATGTTTATTTGAAGTAATAAATTTGTAAATTATATATATTTTGGCAACATAATAAATAAGACATAAATAATATAAATAATAAAAACATTAATGTGTATATATATTAATAAATAATTAAATATGTTTTTAGGAAAATGATTTATTTTGCCAACAAATAAATATCATTATTTCTTAAAGATTTTAAAGATGAAATCCCATAATTTTTTTTTCACAAAATTAAATAACCACATAAAAAAATTTCATATTAGTTGTCTTAATAATAGAGGTTACAACGAAATATATTTGTCTAAGTAGTTTTTTTTAACAACACATTAATTATCTGAAAAGAAAAAAGAAAATAAAAAGGATATGACTATTCTTGTATATAGTGAACAATTTGATCTCTTATGGGGTCACAAAGCCGAATCATGTGAGATGAAAATTCTATTGATGAAGGTATATGTGAAGATCCAACTCCATCATCATCATCATTATTTTCTTCTGCATAAGAACCTTCTTGTTCAAACTGAATGAAACCAGGATCAAAAATGGATGTTGATCTAATGAAGTTATGTATGACCATCGTTGCACAAACAATTTGAACCTATGTTGGAAAGTCATAGCTCGGTATGTTTCCTAAAATTGCAAACTTACCCTTCGAAACTCTAAAAGTTCTTTCAATAGTGCTCTATAGACTTGAGTGCAAATATAATTGAATGCCTTATTCTCATTTTTAAGTGTAGATGACCTTTGAAAATCAGAGAGATGATAGTGTTCATGTCTGTAGGGACCAAGGTATCCCATGGGTGTCGAATAGCCAGCATCCACCAAATAATATTTGCCTACATGAAATATATGATTGGTGTCAATAAACTTTGTTTTCTAATAGTTAAGCATAAATAAATTGTAGCAATTTAAATTATACCTTGAGGCGGATGGGGAAAGTTCATGGAAGGAGCTGTGAGGGCATGGTTAAATATACGAGCATCATGCGCACTACCTTCCCATCTGGCCAATACAAAAGTGAAGCACATGTCCTAATTGCAAACAGCCATTACATTTTGTGTCACTCTTCCTTTTCAGTTAATAAATTTTGTTTGCTCAGTTGCATTAACAATGCATGAAATATGTGTTCCATCAATTGCTCCAATAGCATGTTTGAAAAAGGGCCAGTATCGACCATTGGGCGTATTTTTGTATGCAAATACTGAAATGTTGGATCTTTTGGTTTGATATTGGACATAGCAAGTCTACAGCATGCCAGTAAGACATTATGGAAATGTCTACTAATTGTCTCCCCTGAATGTTGAAATCTTTCTTGCTGCATCCTACTACTAAGCGCATGGCCAATGGTATTTAAAAACATTGCAACCATTTCATGTATCCCAACATTTCTAGTTTCCCTTAGACTATGTTGTTGCAATTCTGTGCAAAGACTGAAGAACACTTCCCTTTCCATCCTAAACATGTTACAACAACGGTGGAATGGCCTTATAAAACGTCCCTTACCCATGCTTTGCCGATATAAATATTGGTATGCTGGGGCTCTTTACACAAATGAAGAGAAGTGTATCCACCAACCGCTACTTGCAACTTGATTAACCCGTTTGTTCTGTCGTTTACGATACTTTTCCTAATTTTATTTATAATTCATCAGCCATTTTTTGGCTTGTCCTATACACATAGACATAAAATTCAGAAATCCTGATATGAAATTACTAAAAATTTAACAAGGAAATAAGTTGTTTAATTCCTACAGAAATTTAGTAGTCACATAATACGATAGTACTGGTTACATCATTCCCAAAAATATATGCAAATTATCACAGTCATCTTCTAGGCAACACAAAAAGTAGTCAAATACTATGATAAGCAATACAAATGAAGTCTCAATCCTTAGTTGCATGCTTCAAGAAGATTAGGAGTTTTTCCCTCTTGTTTTTCAGAGCCACATACATCTCCTTTGGACCTGGCTTGTCCATAAGGAGTGTTGTGCACTGGCCAAACATATCAGGATCATCAACAACTTCATCAACTTCATTAAGGTGCTCCATGACTCCCGTAATTGACGTCTCATAAGCATGTGCTTCTTCTTCTAGCTTCCTAGCATGTGCTTCTGAAATCTCTTCATGTTCATGCTGAGAATCAATTTCATTTGCTTAAGCTATCCTACTTAGTGCATCTGCTATTTTCATAGTGGTAGTGGGTTTTCTTCTTCATGGATTCACCATTTTTTCTAACCCCTAATAAGCTACTAGGACGATCGCCACTTGTGCTTCTACCCCCATGAATGGTTTCCTGTCTTATTCCAATGTTGCCTCACTTCCTCCACTGTTGTCATGAATGTGACCGAATTAAACTCCCCGCTTATGCTAGTTGGTGCCCCCAAAATTTCATCACTATCTCCAGACCCTTCTTCCATATCATCTTCAGGAACTCCTTTGCTTGGAAGTGTCGTGGAAGAAGGTGCCCATGACTGTGGTCCAGTTGTAGCTACAGACCCAAAGAGTTGAGTCAATTTAGCCCAAAATTGAAGCCCTCTTTCTCTAAATTTCTTGTTGCCTAGAACTTCTTGCACATTCAACACCAAAAATATTATACATTATACAAAAAATTTTAACATTGAAGAAAATGCAAGCTCAAATAAAGTTAAATAGTTACCACTATTTTCTTCTCCCACCAATCATCATGGGCATAACAGTATTCCTTATGGCATCCCACCCAAACCTGTCTCACGGAGCAGCTTATCCCATAGCTGCCACTCTTTTCGCAGAGAGTCAAGTTTGTTCTTAAATTGGATTTTCGTGTAGACTCTCCTAGTCTTTGCAGTGAAGCTGTCCCCAAGACTTGCCCAAGCAGGCTTTGTCAAGCTAGTTCCTTTTCTTCCCCCTTTTTCAACCTCTTCAATGCACAGGCCAATAAAGACCTTTGTGGTTCTTACATCCCACGAAGCTTTTCCATTTTGTTTACTCATTATGCTATAGACCAATTACAACACACTTCAGTCATCACAAGTTCAACCCAAAAAGCATGCCATTCAGTTCAAAGATATGATATAATAGGTATGATATTTAACAAGTATAGCCACATGTTCTATACCATTCATGTCAAGTTAATTGAAGTACAACATTCAGGTCAAAATAACAGATCCTCTGTCTCCAATAAACCACAAATAATGACTTTCTTTTTTTCACCAAAACCAGGTCTCATTAATAATCGAAATCCCAAATTAATAATATTTTTTTTCCAACATTAAGGGGAATTCTTTTTGGTTAATTGACCAAATTTGACTACAACCAACAATCAAAATCCCAAACATATTTTAGTTAACCACTAAAACACTGAAAAGCAACCATTAAGCACAAAAGAAAAATTCAATGTTCTGTCTCCAAATAAAATCCACCAAAAGAAATAAGATCAAAAAAATAAGAACAATTTCAGCAGCACAAGCATCCACAACCAAAAACCAATGCTCTGTCTCCAAAATCTGAATTTGATCAACACACACCAATGCTCTGTCTCTCATACACACACACACGAAGCCAGAACTAGTCACAACCAAGATTTTTCCTATACTCGTATACACACACACGATTACCATGAAACAAAATCAAACCAACAAAAACCAACTCAATCGGCGTCAACTAAGCAAGTGACCACCGAAGAAGAGGAGAGAGCTTACCTGAAACGCTGGATCTGAGTGATGGAACCAGACATGACAACCTCAGCAAACGACGACTGGACGAACTGAACACCAAAGAAGAAGGAAATAGATGGATGGATCAGGCAACCCAATGTGCGATCTTGTTTTGGTAAGCCAACTCCTCACCAGTGCCGAAATTCGCAACCTCAATGACCTCACCGGTGGTAACAAGTCGACTCAAGTTTCAGAAGGGGTGATGGCAACTCACCGGTGGCAATAACTTCGGTCGAATTTCAGAAGGGATGACGGCAACTCATTGGTGGCAACAAGTTTGGTCAATTTCAGAAGGGGCAACACAACTCACTAGTGGCACAAATGCTCGATTGAATTTCAGAAGGGGACGACGGATGCAAGCTGAATGGGAGAACAGGACAAGTAAAAAATGTCTTCCTTTACCATTAGGAGCCTCTAATAGCACTCATTATTATTGCAACGACTATTTTTTATCCTCAGAAGCGAAAAATTATGGCTTACCGTAAAACCATGGTTTGGCTTTGCAAAACCAAGGTTTTTCCTGAAACCATGGTTTTGCAAAAAACTAGGGTGTTTGGCAATCATTTCACCCAAACCATGGTTTGGGGCTCAGAAGTGCTTTTACTCAAATTGCCAAACACCCCCTCAAGTTATCCAAAGAGAAGGGAGTGCCATTAGAAAATCCTCAACTATACAGGAAACTCATTAGGCGCTTGTAGTACCTTACAACAACATGTCCAGACCTCAGTTTTGTCACCCAATAGCTCAACCAATACATGTCTGATCCAAGAGACTCACCTTCAAACTGCACACAGAGTACTCTGTTATATCAAGGCTTCTCCTAGTGCAAGCTTATTCCTTCTTCAATCTTTGATTTAAAACTCAAAGGCTTTAGTGATTCTGATTGGGCAAGTTGCTTGGATTCTAGACGATCAATCACTGGTTTTGCCGTATTTCTTGGCTCATCTCTTATCTTCTGGAAAGCCAAGAAGCAGACCACAATATCTCATTCCTCCTCTGAAGCAGAATACCGTGCTTTGGCCTCCACCACATGTGAAATTCAGTGGTTACTTTGTCTTCTGAATGATTTTAATGTTGCTCATTTAGCTGCTGCCTTTTTACACTATGACAACCAGTTTGCTCTTCAAATTGAAGCGAACCCTACCTTTCATGAGCGAACAAAGCACATTGAACTTGATTGTCATCTAGTCTAGGCAAAACTACAAGCAAAATCATCCTACACGCTTCCATGAGCTCATTTCCAAGCTTGGCATGAAAAATATCCATGCTCAAGCTTGCGGGGGGTGTCAAGTGTAACGTAGATATTCTATTACATAATTTATACTTTTGTAAATTAGTTACATTTTCTGTTATGTAAATACTCTTAGACCCATTTGTCATGTTTCTTGACCATTTTTGGGTTTTTTCTTCTTATTTTTCTCCCAAAAACAATCTCCTCATTGAAAATTCAATGCAATTAATGAGTTATAAGTATGTCATGGCCAGTCATGACTCTGAGACTTTCCTCTCTTATTTCCATTATCTGATAACGAAACCGACAATACAAAAAGTGGAGAAGCATGGAGTACCAACAAAAAGGAAAAGCTCTGTCTACTGAAGGCTCTAAAATCCCCAAGGATGTAGAAGGCAATGAGGGGGAGCCCTTGCCCATCAAAGCCATCAATGAAGAGGTGAATAGAAAAACTGACAAAGAATTGATCAAGAAAGTGGCAAAAAGGGACGCTCATGACTACAAATATGGGGAAAATCTGCATGATGTTCTATGCTGATACACCTCAAGTATCATAAAGCATAACGTGTTGTGTTTTTATGTGGATATGATGACCCAATACTATAAGGTACCAGTTAGACATGGCATCAATTTTAGCATAAACTTTTGGAAGGCTGTTGTTACCAAGCACCTTGAAAACATTCTCGTAAAATATAGAGAGACTTTGTTCATCAATCATGCTTTCAAGCTTTGAATCATTATTGTGCTTGTTGAACCCTATTTTTATTAGAGGTTGATGTGTTTCCTTTTAATCATTAAGAGAATCCGAACCTTGCAGCAATTTTTTGGTGAGTTTTTATTAGTAATATTTTATCTTTTAATTGCTTTAATTGAGTGGGAGCTATTTTCAGATTGTGAAATCCAAATGCTTAAACAAAGGGATAAGTTCAAATAAATTAACCATAAGGAGATAGGAGGGGAATTGACATGACTGAGATGGGAGCCAACCTAGTTAACTCCTAATTACGAAATTGGCAATCTTTCATCTGATTACTATTAGTCTTCTTTGGACATTGAATTTATATACCATTATTTTAAGTGCATAATTGTCTATGTAATAGTGATATGTCATAAATGGCCACAAGCACTATAATAGCTGAGCTGAGTGAACAAAGGCAATAAGCTAAACAGATAACTACAGTATGTGGCATCATAAAATCTCCTATGTCCTGGAGGAGACTAAGACATTATTGACATCTTATCTACTATGCCCTAGCAACTTGATGCTGCACAGCGTCATAGAGAGAACAAGAGTCATATACTGCTTGGAAACAATAGAACAGTATCGTGCGCGTAACCATATTAAGTACCATGGCAGATAATATTATGTGTGAGTTTGAAGAATGTGACTGCCTAGGCCATGTGAATAGTCTTAAAGGACAAGTTTGATGGCATTCCGCCATTAAACTGAGAAGGCTTACCATCAAGTTTGACATGTACAAGCTAAGGCCTAACACACCTGTTAGACAATACTTAAGGGACATATGGAACATGATCCAAGAATTGAAGGAGGTAGGGTATGCTCTTTTTGATGAGCAATATGTTCAGTTCATCATAAAATCACTTTAGCTAGCTGAGCATATGAAGGTCAACCTCATGCCTAATAAGAGCATAGTAACCTTCACATGTGGCATGCCACATTGAACTTGAGGATGAAAGGATGGAGGCTGTGAAATCCACAACTAGGCATACTTAGCTGAAGGCAAGGAGGGTTTATCTTCCAAACCCAGATATAAAAGGGAAGAGGTCTCAAAAAAGGTAAAGAGAGGCCTAATGGCCCAAAAAGGCAAGAAAACCTTTAGGAAAGGCAAGAGGCCTGCTAAGAAGAAGCTTGAGATGGTAAAGGTCAAGTGTTATGCTTGCCGTAAGAAGGGACATTTTGCCAAAGATTGCCTTGAGAGTCAGGTCAAATACCACATCAACAGAGATCATGGGAACTTCATAAATTTT